GACCCCCGGGGGTAGGGTGGGGCCACAATAGGAAATACAAGTTTTACATTGAAATATATAGGAAAAATCTTTAAAAATCTTCTTCTCAAGAACCACTGGGCCAGAAAAACTGAAACTTATGTGGAAGCATCCTGGGGTAGTGTAGATTCTAAATTGTTCAAATCATGACCCCCAGGGGATAGGGCGGGGCCACAATAGGGGGAATCCCAAGTTTTACATTGAAATATGTAGGAAAAATCTTTGAAAATCTTCTCAAGAACCACTGGACCAGAAAAACTGAAACTTATGTGGAAGCATCCTGGGGTAGTGTAGATTCTAAATTGTTCAAATCATGGCTCCTGGGGGGAGGGTGGGGCCACAATAGGTATTACAAGGGGGGAGTCTGGTAATGAACAGCATGGCCAAAGTTATCAGGTGAGCGATGTGGCCCATGGGCCTCTTGTTTTTTTTACCTTGACCTCATGTTTCTTAAAGTAGTGTTTAGCTCAGCTTTAAAGAAACCATTTAAGATAGTGTAATCAAACTTCATATGCTGATACATAATGAAGTAAGCTATTCAACTGCATCAACATTATTTGACCTTGACCTTTCCTTTCACCTTGACCTCACTTTTCTTACATTTGTGTTATGCTAGTTTTAAAGAAACCATGATATTTTTATCAAATGTCATATGCTAATACATACTGATGTAAGGTTTTCAACTGCATCAACATTTTTTGACCTTGACCTTTCCTTTGACCTTGACGTTATTTTTGTTAAATTAGTGTTTAGCTCAGTTTTAAATAAACCATTCAAGATATTTTTTCAAACTCGATATGCTGCTATGTATTAGTAAGAGCTATTCAACTGCATTAAAAACATTTGATCTTGAACTTTCCTGTGACCTTGACCTCACTTAAATAGTTCTTGTTGACTAGCCCAAATTTCAAAATTAATTTGATATCGTATAATATAATTAAAACTAATTTGTTATTGTATAATATATATTTTTTAATTTTAATTTTTATGTCTTTACAACAAACTGCAGAGTGCCATGTCTTACTAAGATGACAATTTATAGTCTAAAGAATAAAGATAATTTGTTTCGATGTTTTATTAGGCTGTAGCATTGTTAATCAATCATAAAATATACAATAAGCAAAGCTGCAGATGGGCATTTGTTAAGCTCTAACAGAACTAATTGAGAAATTTATGATGTATTATTTGTTATAATTAATACCCACACCACAGGAGATGTATTTACATCAAACATAATAAGGAATGGAAAAATCATTGAAATCTTTGTTTCAAGGTTGACTTAATTTTCTTGCACTCTAATCTGTTTCAATGTTTGACGAGGTAATTACTGTAAACCAACTTTTATTCACGACGACTTTATTTCACGATTTACCGGGGGTAAACTAGTTCGCGACGATTAATTTTCGCGATCAAGCCTTTTTTTGATCTGTCTTTAATAGAAAAAGAGACTTTAAGGACCAGTTGGCAGCGAGAAATATTCGCGATGACGAGGCTCTCATGAACCTCACAAAAATTTCTCGCACGCGAATAAATGTTGGTTTATAGTATGCTGTGGCAGGGCCCTTTATTGTAGATTGAGCAATCCTTATAAACTCCTTATCAATCTAGTGTCCTATGACTTAGTCTCCTCAAGGACATTTATGTCTCTAATGTCAATAACTTTTCAAACAAGAGAGAAACAGAAAACACACCAAAGTACTTACAATAAGTACATTTACTAGTTCTCACTTTAGTACTGTTATTCATGATCCATTAAAACATATAACTCTTAAAATCATACATAGTGAAGGTAGTACATGGACATGTACTTTATGACTTTATTCTTTTCTTCCCTTTTTTTTTTTTGATTCTTTGGTCAAAAAGTAGCACTATTAAATGCCCGTTATTTAGTTGTCTGTCTGTATAAATAACATTTCAAATAACAAACCTTCAAAAAATTTTGTTCAAATTAAATGAAATCTCTTCCATAGGTAGACTTTCACAGATTTTGTCTGGTTTGGATTTAAATCCTGATAATCTTGTTGACTTCATAAAAACAATATTTATCAGTGTGTAACTGTCTTTATTTTTTTTATGAGTGGTTTAATGTATTGTCTGTATGATACATGGTTTGTTATGCCTCTCCATGAATATGGCCATGGCATATATTATTTGTCCTATCCGTCTTCTGTCCCTCAGTCCTTCCATCTGTCCTTCCATCACACTTTGTGTTTAGCTTAGTTTCATAGAAACTATTCAAGATATTTTTATCAAACTGCATATGCTAATACATACTGATGTGAGCTATTCAAATGCAACAACATTTCCTGACCTCGACCTTTCCTTTGACCTTGACTTACTTTTCTAAAATTTGTGTTTAGCTAAGTTAAAAGAAACTGTTCAAGATATTTTTATCAAACCTTATATCCTATACATACTGATGAGAACTAATCAACTGCATCAACATTTTTTAACCTTGACCTTTCCTTTGACCTTGACTTCACTTTGCTTAAAATTGTGTTTAGCCAAGTTTCAAAGAAACTGTTCATGATATTATTATCAAACAACTTCTTATGCTGATACATATTGATGAAAGCTATTCAACTGCATCAACATCTTTAAATTTGATTTTGACCTTTTCTTTGACCTTGACCTAACTTTCTTTAATTAGTGATTATCTCAGTTTCAAAGAAATTTAAGATATTTTAATCAAATCTTACATGCTTATACATCTGAGATGTTCATCTACATTAACATTTTTTTACATTGGCCTTTCCTTTGACCTTGACCTCAGTTATCTTAAAATGGTATTTAGCTAAGTTTCAAAGAAACTTTTCAAGATATTGTAATCAAACGTAATATGCTGGTACATATTGGTGAAAGCTATTCAACTGCAACAACATTTTTGACCTTGACCTTTTTTTTTACCTTGAAAAATTTGTGTTTAGCGAAGTTTTACAGAAACAAATCAAGATATTTTTTATCAAACTTCATATGCTGATACGTATTGAGGAGAGCTATTCAGCTTCAACCTTTCTTTCGACCCTATCTCACTTTCCTCAAATTTGTTTTTGTTTTTTCTTTTTGCTCTAAGAAACTGTTCAAGATAAATGAAACGCATTGAAGTGGTAAAATTTTCTGTTTGCGTGGAAGGTTTTGAGCTTTCTTTTGAACGTTGATTGTCACAGACTGACACACCCATTTCTTCAGAAAGAAAAATGGTGGTCAAATGGCATATTCAAATACCTGTAGAACATGCAGGTATTCCAGAAATACAATAGCCAATCGAATTGATAGTCTACATAAACACCGAGTAAACCTGGTTCGACCGATACATGTACATGTATTGTGATAACTTCAATAAACATGATAAGTTCATAATTATGCACATGTTTTACAGAAGCGGGGAGTCTCTAACTCTTTCTCTCCTAACTTCAAAAAATTTCCATATCAGCAAAACCCATGTTGCTAGTCACAGAGTGGGATGTCTTAAAACATTGCGACAAATATTGCTTTCTCATTTCTAAAGAAATGGGCGTGTCATTCTGTAACAATTGACATTCTATAAGAAAGACCCAAACGTTCCATTCAAACGAAAAATTTTACCACTTCAGTGCACTTCATTGTATTTTTTATGTAAACTTATGCACTGATACATTATTTGGTGAGAATTCGTCAACTTTGTCCATTTTTTTTACATTGACCTTCTCAATGAACTTTGAATTTACTATATATTGTGTATTAAACTTAGTTTTAAAGAAACTGTTCAAGGTATTTTTATCAAACTTCATACACTTATACAAATTTTCATGTCACATTACTAAAGAACCCTGGGTGGGGGCATTCATGTCCTATGGACACAATTCTAGTGGATGATCTGTTAGTTTGATAGTGTGTTCATGTTCATTACAGAGCTGGTGGACTGTGATAAAGTGGATGAGGGTTGTAATGGTGGATTACCAAGCCAGGCCTACAAAGAAATCATCAGATTAGGTCAGTAGTAAAGGAATGGTTTACATTTTGTTGAAAGTTATATTTAAGAATTTATACATAGATTTGATAGAGATATTTTTGACTGAATGTTTACTTTGTAATGGAGCAGTATTCATACATGCTTCTGATCACAAGTTGTTTGATGAAGCTGAAGAATTATGAAGGACATGTTGATTGGTGGTATAAAACTGTCAGCCATTTAAATGTGAAAATTGTAATTACCTAGTTATAACCACAACCTGACCTGACAGGGGGTGCTTCTTTATTGATCATTTTAGAAAAGTTCATCAAATTACATTGAGGTTTTTATGTTGAGTAATAAAGTATCCAATTTGGGGAGTTTTAATTGCTGAATCCCTGATTCATAATTAAATCTAAAGTTAAACGTTGCCATTCAGGTTGATAGTGACAATATTAGACACAAATGTTGCTAAAGACCAGAAAACACAGTGAACAAAGGACAATAGGTCAATGTCAAAGAGAGCAGTTACCATAGTAAAAATTAATAGGATAGATCTAGCTTGAATTTACATATACTGTATACCGGGTTATTTTCGTCCTTTCACATTTGCAAACAATTTTGCACCGTTTTAAATTCGCCCAGGCACAGTTCTGTTTAACAAATTATGCTGTGTTCTTTGAAATCACCCCGTTTTAAATTCGCCCAACTGAGAGTAGGGCGAAAGGGGCGAAAATAAAACAGGGGCGAAAATTTCCCTGTATATAGTATTAAGCCAGAAACATAGACTGAAATGTGTATGGTCACAGCCTCTCAGTTCTCTTTATCTTTCTGTTGGGTCTAGTCTTAATAAGTGGTAGGAATTTTGCTTATGACCAGAAGTGAATTTGAATCTGACAAGGACATTTGGAACTTGGAAGGACTGGCAGTTAAGATCTAATACAGGCAATAACTGTGTGGCTTAGGAGTACATGTATAAATCTTTTAGTGTACCGTATACTGGACACAGCTCCTGATTTGCCAGAGGTTATGTTGAGAGTAAGAATGACATAATTTAGGCAAGGTTGGAGGGTTTAAAGTACCTAAAGGTTTTAAATGCTGGTAAGCTTTTAATGTTATGATCAGTTCAATGTATTTCTTTTCAGGAGGACTGGAGAGTGAGACGGACTATCGCTATAAAGCACACGATGAAAAGTGTACATTTAATAAATCAATGGTTCGAGTGAAAATCAACAGCTCAGTCTCCATCTCCAGCAATGAGACAGGTGTGTAAATCACTGCTGCTGTCAAATTGGTCTTCATCCATCATCAACCGTTAACAATTGAATATTTTTAACTTTTTCTTGAATACTACTTGGCCAACTGTCTTCAAATTTGATATGAAGCATGTTAGGTGTAAGATGAACATAAATTTGATCATTATAATCATTGTACCCTGGAACACCAGGGGTTTAAAAACTGCTAAAAATAGCCAAATTTTCAAAAATCCTCTTCTCTACACCTGAATATCTTGAGATAAACTGAATGCATGGTGAGAAAGAGCAAGGGGCCTTCTACCCAAAATATGTTTTTCATGACCCCCAGGGCAGGGGTTTAACCTCAAAGGCATTGTCAAAATGGTCATCTAGTGAATTCTTTTGATAAAGAGACTTCATTTTGCCTTTCACATTATTTAGTTTCAAATTTTTTACATTAATTTTGTATAATTTTATAGAGATGGCAGCATGGTTGGTGAAGAATGGACCCATCTCTATCGGAATTAATGCCTTTGCAATGCAGGTACAATATGGGGCTTCATGTCTGACAGTTAACAATACATTAAGTGTAGTGGCTCTCACAAGTATGGTCGCCCGCGTGGCGCAGTGGTTAGAGTGTCTGCTCTAGAGTCGCGAAGTAAGGAGTTGATCCTTATGTCGCGGGTTCGAATCCCACTGTGGGACGTGGAGACCGGTCCTTCGGATGAGACCATATAAACCGAGGTCCCGTGTGGGTGCTGGCACGAAAAAGATCCTTCACTGCTCAATGGCCATAAGTGCTGAGTATAGGACAAAATTTGCAGCTTTCCACCGGCAAGTGGTGGCGTCTCCATATGAGTGAAAAATTCTCAAGAGGGACGTTAAACAAAATACAATCTCAAAAGTATGTTTTATTAGAGATTTAATATATATATCAGATAAACAGAAAGGCGTTTGTCAGGTTAAGTAATTAATAAAAAAAATGTGTGTATTATTGGTCATTTGAAACATTACAGGGATGACAGTTCAATGGATAACTACCATATGTGATTATCTCTGAAAAATTTAAGTCTGAGATAGTATTATAGAAGCTATTGTATACCCTCTTTGTGTCTTTTGAAACAATTAAGCAACAATACAATTCAAATGGTAATAAAGCAATCTAAGAGTTATATTCTGTAGGGAATGTTGAAAATTGGTTTTTCCAATATGAATGATTTTATCAGAATTTCCACATCTGTTGTATATTGAAGAAACATCAAGATCTTATCAGTACATGTTGTTCTATTATTAAGTAGAACAGGTGATTCCATATTAAGAAATAGAGATAATAGAGGTCATAATCTAACACGAGTAACACGACCAAATATGACATACCATTTACTACTCAAACCTGTATTGCTTACATTGGCAAATTAAATATTTTTGGAGATTGTACTTGATGTTAATTGAAGAACTTGAAAAATCCTCAATGTGGAAATTCTCATGAAAACTTTCTGATTAAAAACAAAACAATAATCAACCTGCCATATATGATTTAAATAAAGATAGGTTTTAAAAAGTACTTTAAAATTATTTAACAAATGATAGATGCATGTAAATAGAATTGAATCAAGGCTTAATATTAATAATTCATAACTTTTATTCATGATTTTTTAACTTGAAATCCATGTGCAACTAGAAATTTGTGAAATTTAACATTCTACAAACACAATTAAATTGTTTGTGGCAGAGAGGATATTGTCGGAGGACCAGTTGCTAGCCAGTATTTGTCCAGGTGTTTGTTGTGAAGAGAAAGTTTAATCATGTCAAAGCTAGATAAGTGACTACATGACTGTAATTAAAAGTTAATCATGTCAAGGCTATACAAGTGACTACAGGACTGTAATCAAAGTTTAATCATGTCAAGGCTAGACAAGTGACTACAGGACTGTAATCAGTGTTTAATCATGTCAAGGCTATACAAGTGACTACAGGACTGTAATCAAAATTTAATCACGTCAAGGCTAGATTAGTGACTACATGACTGTAATCAATGTTTAATCATGTCAAGGCTAGATAACCCTAACCCTACATGACTGTAATCAAAGTTTAATCACATCAAGGCTAGATAAGTGACTACAGGACTGTAATCAAAGTTAAATCATGTCAAGGCTAGATTAGTGACTACAGGGCTGTAATCAGGATGTAGAGGGAAGAAAATGCTCTGTATTATTCCAGTTTTAGATAAAAGTCTCAAAAGAAGTCCTACAAAAATTATGTTTGAGTTATTAAATAGAGTCCCTGCCATACCATCTAGAAATCTAGATTTGAATGGGTTCAAATTTTAGTGTGCACATATTTTAGCTCATGACATAAATGTACACATGTTTATGCCATGAAATTGGCTCAAGGGCAAAGGTCACTGGGTCATGAAGTTATGAAATTTTGTCTGGGTATAACTCCAGATGGATGATTAGAATATTTCATTCAAACTTAAGTATGCTTTTGATGATAATGTATAGGTATGGCATGACATTGATTCAAGGTGATCTTGTTAAGGTCATATCTTGGTCAGGGGGGTAATTGGAGAGGGGAGACATCTGATTTTGTCAATGTCTTGAGTTTTGACATCTTTTTTGCAGTTTTACATGGGAGGAATATCACATCCCTGGAAATTTTTTTGTAATCCAACAAAACTAGACCATGGAGTGTTAATTGTTGGTTATGGTGTTGGTAAGTATAAAGTACAGTATCCTGTAATTTTTCTTGAGGGTACGTTCATGTCCCAAATTCAAGAAATTGAAACATCAATCACTCTGTATACAGTTTTATACACTTTCCACCGTTCTTATATACATTGTTACTTCTTATCTAAAAATTCATATGATGTGACTATAATACACATATAATCACGCTTGTGTCAAAATAATATGAAATGTCAATGATAAATTGGAAAGAATATATTTTAACTTAAAAATTCAAGTTTATTAATAATTAAAGATGACATTAATTTTCAGTAAATTATCTTGTTTTTGCATTAATATATATTATGTTAATATTGTGCAAACATATTTACTAAATGCACGAACATGTTATAGAAATGTGCACCTGTTTTGATTTGAGACACAGTGCAATGCAATATGTGTATCTTTGCATAAATTCATCTGATCTATTTGCTTGTACATGTATTTCAGAGGGAAATAAGCCATATTGGATTGTGAAGAACAGCTGGGGCCCTGACTGGGGAGAAAAGGTGTGTATGGAAAACTTCACCATCTTATGGAAATTTTTTATTTTACCCCTTCTCAGACTAGGGAAGTTTTCCGATTATTTTTGGTTTATGACTGTCAAATGAAGATTCTGTATACTCTGATAGAGTCAAACTCTATGTCTTAAACAAAGTTGAAAAGATAGGGGTGTCATGAGTGTTTTCAGATGTATTTGATAACAGATTTTATTTTGTTTTAGCTTTACTCAAGTGCATTCCTTATGTGTAAAGTTTCTTTACCTTCAAGAACTTTAATGTACTTTCTTATTTATCATAGGTGAGGTAAATTTTTTATATGTAGTCTTCATTTGGGAACTGGATACTTGCTTAGAAAGTTTCATACTGCAAAAAGTACTATACCTTCAGACCATGTATCATTATATACCCAGAACCATATTTCTCTGAAATGGCTAAATCAGTTTGTTTAGTTGCATTTATGGATTAAGGGTAAAATTTCCTAGTCCCAGCAGCCCCCCCCCCCTTTTCAATAGTCTGAAGAAGGATGGGTCAAAATAATCAAAATTCTTAAAATCTTAAACTTTCTTTACTCCTGGACATCTGGTAGGCAAAGTGTTTGCCAAACATAAAAAGCACTTATTCTTCACCAAAATTGGGAAATTCATGTCCTTGGATCAATGGTTCAGTCCTTAGGGTGAGGCTAAGTTGGTCATGTATTTAAAAAAATCTTTGAAAATCCTCTTCTTTATTTCATTGGTCCAGGTCCCATGGAAGGTCAAAGTTGATCATACATGTATATTGAAAAAACAATTCACATTTGAAAAGATTGTTTACATTGACACTTTGCAGGCAAATTGTTGCATGATGATAATGGGCAGCAAGGCAATCTACCAAAATTTGAATTTCATATTCCTTGAAATTAGGGTGCAGACCCAAGGGGGAAATACATCACACCTCTGAAAATCTCTCTGCACTCTTGGATATCAATCATGCAAACTGTTTGCAGTTGATGCTATGACAACCCAGGTTTGAATCTTGGTCATGGCACCAATATAATAAGAAGTTAATCTTCTAATGTAGTTGTGAAATTAATGTCCCAATTGTCAAGCATTTAGACTGCATTGTAGGGATATATTGAAAATTTACCATACAGTGTGCCTTTGTAAATGTTATTTATTCCTAGACATTAAGCAAGGGAATGCATGATGGCAGTGAGCTATGGCCTTTGTAGTTCACCTGAGCCAAAGGCTCAAGTGAGCTTTTCTGATCAAAATTTGTCTGTTGTTGGGGGCGGGGCTAAGACCTAAGGATAAGGCTCAGTTGAATATGTATTGAAACTGTATTACAATGTATAACCTTAAACCTTAGCATTCCGTGCCTTACAATAATGAACAGAGAGTCCTCACAAGACTTTAAAATTTATGTCACACAAGTCAGGAGTTTAAATCCCAGGTCAAGTATAGCCTTATAAAGTCATAAGATGTACAGGGTGACTAACCAGACTTGTGTGTTTCTCCTTTTATACCTTAAAGCAGAACAGAAGGGGAAGAACTCTTTTTTCTCATTCCACTGGTTTTTTTTTTCTTTGCAGGGTTATTATTTAGTTTATCGTGGAGCAGGGGTTTGCGGTCTGAATACCATGTGCACCTCAGCTGTCGTCAACTAAGAATCAAACAACAAAAGTGATATACACATTTAGCCTATCATCTTTTTCTAGTCTACATTATGAATTGTTTATGTTGCATAATATTTGATAGATTTATTGTTAATGCTGTGCCTCAAATACTTCATGCTTCAATGAAATAAATATCGAACCATAAACTAGAGAAAAACATCTCACAAATTTGACCAACTCTTTTGCCTGCCAATAGAAAACTTTATTGCTTAAAATACGGTATTGCAAAAAAGATTTGTTTTAGTGTTATTTAAAAAAAAATATATACAAATAGTCTTTATGTTGTTGAAAAATATTTTTTTTAAAACTGCTAGCTAGTTATAGCAATACATGTGCATTATACAAAAATACCCATGTTAAATGGAGATCATACTTGTTAATATTTTTTCATATTGTAATTATTGTAATACTTTCAAAATATTCAGTCTGTGATATTTTGTACACACCTTTGCTAAAGATGAGAGTATACTGTTCAGTGGTTTAAATGAAAAGAAAGAAAACATTTGTTCACACTACATTTTCCTTTTGTTTATTAAAAAAAATTGTTGAAAAAATGTGAAGTCAGGTGCTGCATTTTACACCTGATGCGAATTTTTCACAAGGGATATTGAGATTGTTAATGTTGGTATAGCCTATATGTACATATTCACCAGTGATATGTGTTTTGTACTGTATATACTCGCCTACAAGTAGGATTTTGGGGAGGTAAATTTTGGGCCTAAACTCTATGTCTAACTTATAAGCAAGTCCTAGAGACATAAGTATTTTTTAAAATAATTTCAGTATTATCATTGACAAATGTGGGAACATGCTTGAAAAGTAGATCTAAGGTTACAATAAGTATTACGTACAAGTCCTTACTGATTCTAATGATCTTAATTTTGATTGAATTGTTAGGTCACCTGAGTAAACTCAGGTGACCTATTGCTATCTGTTTTCATCCGTCGGCGTGCGTCGTCCGTCGTGCGTTAACATTTGAACATTTTAAGCTTCTTCTCTGGAACCACTAAACCAATTTCAACCAAATTTGGCACATAGCATCTATATGTGAAGGGGAGTAAAAATTGTGAAATTCATGACCCCTACCCCCCTGGGGCCTGAGGGGTGGGGCTAAAACCATCAGAATTAATGCAGTGTTTAAAAATCTTCTTCTTTACTCCTGGGCATCAAGCAGGCAAACTGTTGGCATGAATGTAATAAGCATTGAGCCCTCTACCTAAATTGTGAAATTTATGGCCCCAGGGTCAGGGGTTCTGGTGCTAGGGTGGGGCTCTGTTGAATATATAGTGATAATGCATTATTCTTAAAAAATCTTCTCCTCTGCTCTTGGGTATTTAGGAAACAAACAATATGCATAGTTATGATGAGGAAAGGTGTCTCTTCTAAAATTGTGAATTTCATGGCCCCTGGGTCAGGGGTTCTGGTGTTAGGGCGGGTATCTAATGATTATATAGTGAAAATGCATTAATTATTCAAAAATCTTCTCCTCTGCTCCTGGGTATTAAGCCGATGAACTAAGTACATAGTTATGATGAGAAAGAGTGCTTCTTCCAAAATTGTGAATTTCATGGCCCAAGGGTCAGGGGTTCTGGTGTTAGGGTGGGGCTCTGTTGAATATATAGTGATAATGCATTATTTCTTTAAAAAGCTTCTTCTGTGCTCTTGGATATTATGAAAACAAAATAAATACATAGTTATGATGATGAAAGGTGCCTCTTCCAAAATTATGAATTTCATGGCCCCAGGGTCATGGGTTCTGGTGTTAGGGCAGCGTTCTGTTGAATATACATGTATAGTGAAAATGCATTATTTCTTTTAAAAAACTTCTCTGATCCAGGGCAAACAAACTGAAGGCATAGTTATGATGAATAAGGGTGCCTATTCCTATATTGTGAATTTCATGGCCCCCTGGTCAGGGGTTCTGGTTTTAGGGCGGGGCTCTAATGATTACATAGTAAAAATGCAATACTTCTTCGACAATCTTCTCATTTTCTCCTGGGTAATAAACCGATGAACTAAGAGTATAGTTATGATATGTAAGGGTGCCTGTTCCAAAATTGTGAAATTCATGGCCCCTAGGTCAGGGGTTCTGGTGTTAGGGTGGGGCTCTGTTGAATATATAGTGATAATGCATTATTTCTTTAAAAATCTTTTTCTTTGATCCTGGGTATTTAACAAACAAACTGATGCATAGTTATGATGAGAAAAGGTGCCTCTTCCAAAATTATGAATTTCAGGGGTTCTGGTGTTAGGGTGGGGCTCAAATGATTACATAGTAAAAATGCAATAATTCTTTGAAAATCTTCTTCTTTCCTCCTGGGTATTAAGCCGATGAACTAAGAGTATTAAGCTGCTGAACTAAGAGTATTGTTATGATATGTAAGGATGCCTCTTCCAAAATTGTGAATTTTATGGCCCCTGCATCAATGTTCTGGTGTTAGGGCAGGGCTCTAATGATTACATAGTGATAATGCATTAATTCTTTGATAATCCTCTGCTCTCTTTCTGGGTATTAAGTAAGCTTACTAAATGTAAAATTATGATGAGCAAGTGTGCCTCTTTCGAAATTGTGAATTTCATGGCCTCTGGTTTAAAACATGAATCCATTGTGGCGAAGTTGTTGCATGATACTCAGGTGACCTATAAGGCCCGTGGGCCTCTTGTTAATTAATTATCAAACACTGGTAAATACACTAGAATATTAATCTGAAATTGGGACAAATCTTGGCTAAAAACCGTACCAACTTATAAGCTGGTCAGTGGCAATTCCTCTAAGATTACATGAAAAATACAATGAACTTACAGGCAAGTGTATACGGTAAATTATTTTCTGCTTTGTTAACTATATCATTATGTGTATTATTTGTTTGTACATTATAATCATGTTTTTGAACTTTTATATATGGTACAAAATTTCTTGTTTAAATGGAAAATTAATCATTGTTTAAATTGTTCAAATCTTAAAATTGACTGTTACTGGTATATACAAAATAGCTGTGTTTCATATGCAGTTATATTAACATATTTCCTTCATACCAAGTTACTGAATATTTGGCAATGAGCATTAGTTTGTATTAAGAAATAGCTATTCCCAGTACTTAACAGTTTTTATTTTATGTTAATGTACAAATCCTTATTCATCATTAGGAATTTGATAAATATTATGTGCCACATTTAATTCTTACAATTTTTTTCATTGTTGTTTTAAGGGATATTTTTATGAACAAATTTATGTGAAATTTTCATGTATGTTGATTCATAATAAATATAATATTCACCTTTCACATAAATAATGATGATTTTGTTATTACATGTATGTATAGGGCCTGCAAGGCGAGGACAATCCCCCACTCTGAGTCAATATTTTTCTCAGTTTTCAAAGTTCATTGAAAAGTTATATTTTTTCTAAAATTATGTTTTCAGTAATGGCGTTTTCAACATATATGATTCATTTATTTTTTGGAATGATTTACTGGTTTATAATTTCTTTTTAAGGTTGCCAGTTAAGCATATTTAGTAGAAAATGGGTTTATTGGAGCCATAAAAAATTATTTTTGAATATGAATGGTTCAGGTCTCCATTGTACATTAACATTTAATGACAGAAAAGTATATATTAAATATATTTTATGTTTCAAAAAAATGGAGTCTGTACCCATTCTATGTGAAAATTGAACATTTCTGAAAAAAATTTGCACTTCAACAAACTTGTTTATTTAATTGCACTGACACACACAAATGACAAGAAGACTTAATGATTAACATGTTCAGTCTTACGCCTAACCGTGAGCTTTGCACAGAGTTCAAATCATGTGTGAACCTTTTTTTTTCTTTTCATATACCTTAAAAACATTTAACTTTTGTAAAAAAAAAAAAAAAAATTATCAGTAAGTTATTCAATAAAACAAATGAAGCAAATGTGTAGAAGATTATATAGACGATACAATTTTTGAAAAATGTAACTTTTCAGGAACTTTTAGAATTGAGAAATGTCTTTTTTTTAAAACGGGGGATTGTCCTCGCCTTGTATGCCTCCATTCTTTTCTTCTCCCAAGATGCCAATAGGAAAATTATACACTGTCCATTAAGAATAAATCATGAAATCATCAAGACAAATTATCTAACTTGGGAATACTATGATTTCATTAACGTTTGCAACGTTAACACGTGCAAAATTTGATTTAACATTTGATGTGGTATCACCACAATGCCTACTGATTGAAACAATGTTTAAAAAATGCAAAAAATATGTGTTTATGATGTTATATCCATAACAAGGCCCAAGGGCCTTAATGGTCACCTGAGTATAACACTGTGAAGGATCCATAAAAGTATGAAATAAAACAAAATAAACTGATAGATGAAGCCCAAAAGCAAGAGAATCAACAAAACAATAATTCTTGTACTCGGTAACAAATCTTAAAGATTTGAAGTTAATATTTTCTCAAATGTTTTGTAAAATATTGTGACTTATTTGTTACCTATAGCATTTCACAAGGAAATATGAAAGTGTGTCTAGAAACTTCTTTTATCTGGAAATTATTAAAACTTCGAATTGGGGACGCTTTTGATCGACACATCCTTGCACTTTTACAAAGTAACCTTTATCCTTAATACTTAAGAAAAGTAGAAATTTTGGTGTGTATTAATGGAAAATATTAAAACTATAATCCAGAAAATTCAGAGTAGAAATGTGAGAAAGCAAAACCAACTTACCGGTATTGTCAGTCAATGCTCAGTGAAGTGTGCAGAGTTTAACAAATTGAACACACCCCGTGAAACGTAAACATTAACAATAACGGAGCTCGTGCCCTGTTTACAAAAACATATGTTTGTAAAAAAGAATGTCATTGTTATTGACTTCTAAGAATATTTATATAAGTTCAATTCATTTAACTGGTTTTATATTTTGAATAAGCATAGAAGTTTAAAATGTCAACAAAGCAACTGTGTCCAGGCCTCTTTAAAGTAGATCTATTACTTGTCCCCATTTGTCACTTTCAAAATGCATACAAAACAAAGCAAACATGTTTGAGCACTATTAATAAGCCTATCTGATTCTCTTTCACAATGGCCTCCCATGGTCTTTGAAAAACATTTAATGTAAAAAAAGTTATTATTGTTTAATTTTTATTAGTCCCCTACCGGTGAAACCGGAGGGGACTATAGGTTTCCTCTGAGTCTGTCCGTCCGTCCGTCAGTCTGTCCCTCTGTCTGTCTGTCCCACTTGGTTTTCCGCACTTTTTTCCTAAACGCTTGCAGATATTGAGCTGATTTTTGGTATGCGAGTGTATCTTGATGAGTTACAGACCAAGTTTGCATTTCGTTCCGCTTCATTGATTTTTGACAGAATTACGACCTTTTCAATTTTTAAGGGTTTTCCGCGATTTTTTTCTAAACGCTTGGAGATATGGAGCTGATGTTTGGTATGTGACTTTACCTTGATTACTTATAGATCAAGTTTGCTTTTCATTCCGCTTCAATGATTTTTGACAGAATTATGGCATTTTCAACTTTTGACAGGAACCAGATTACACGTGCCAGTAGGGGACTAGTATTGCTAATGCAATACTCCCAGAATGCTTGTTTATCTGTTATTTACAAGTCTACATGACTATTAAAAACTATGCAAGTACCTTTTGTATTATATATTATAAGTCACCCAAGTACAATACAACAATTTAGAGGATCCATAAGCTGATAAATGAAGCTTTATTGCTCAAAAGCAAGAAAAATTTTATGATTAGGATCAACAAAATAATTGGTCTAGTATCTATCTGTCCCCCATTTATCACTATTACCATGCAGACTATTAAAAAATATCTATTTTTTAATCCTATATATTACCTCTCACATTGGCCTCTCTTGACCTTTGAAGAAAATTTAAAAAATTATTTTTGTCTCATTTTTATTCATCTATTATTTACAAATTTACCTGATCATTAAAAACTGTGAAATTACTTTTGTATTATACAATAAATAAAACTAATAAATGAAGCTTTATTGCCCAAAAGCAAGAAAAATTGACCCTGGGTTCACAATTTTCACATGCAAGTTAAGGCTAGGTATAGGCGTTTCTATGCAAATGAGCTAATAAAAATGCCCAAGAGGTATATTTATTATTCAGAAAAACTTTAGATTTATTTTCTTACACATACTTTGTACCCACGATATGTTATAGCCAGTACACATTATGACGTCATTGTTCCTACCTACTGGAGTTAATAAAACACATCAACAAAACAACTTTGGCGCAAGGGATTACCCTATTTATTTTTACATAAAAATTGTACAATACTAAGAAGAATATTCTATAGATTAATAAAACTGCTGCACAAATCCTAAGCATTTTCTCATTTGATCGGAATTCGAGGAAACTTATACTGGACTGTACATTTTTACCCTGTTTCAACTCAAAACTTTGCAAACAGTAATTAAACAACTGAGCTGTTGATATTTGTGCAGCAACACCAGCAATCCATGGAATATTTTGTCTCTAAATATACCTTGTTTCATTTAAATTGAGCATGCCCTTGTGCCAAAGCTTTTTGTTGATTTCCTGTACAATCTTGTGTAGTAAAGAACAATGAAGTCATAATGTGTACTGGGTTATCATCTCGAGGGTACCAAGTACATGTATATATTAGACAATGTTTTAACTTCCTCTGTAAAACAGGTATAGTCCTTAGGCATTTTAATTCGTTTATTTGCACAGAAATGCCTATACCTAGCCTCAACTCATTTGTGTTGAATAGGTACCTTTGATCATCATAAACAGGCACCTAGTTTACCTGCTGTAACATACAGGGATAAAAAAGTATTTTTAAAGAATTTATGCATTTTCAACATATGATCCTTAGCACTCCAACCTAACCCCAGAACCCCTGGGGCCATGAATTTAAATATTTTGGTAGAGTGCTCAATGTTTATTACAATCATGCCAATACTTTGACTGCTTGATGTCCAGAAATCAAAATTTTTAAAGATAGCACTAATTTTAATGGTTTTAACCCCATCCTTCATCCCAGGGATCATGAAAATATTCTTGCACCCCTTCATCCATTGATGCTACATTTATATACCAAAATTAGCTGAAGTTGGTTCAGGAGCAGAAGCTGAAAATGTTCAAAAGTTCACGACCAACGAACAACACATGACGATGAACAAGAAAAGATAGCAATAGGTCACCTGATTGACTCAAAATGATTAAAAACTAAATATATGAAGATTTCAATCCTTCAAAACTTCAAGGCGAACTCCAATGTGCAGATCACACACGTTCTTGTAGATCATATTCACATAAAAGACAATCCATTTAATGTGATTTTAACATTTATTTGCTCAAAAAATGGCAACATCAAATGAATGTGTTTGTTGCCTTTTCAGAATAAAACACCCGAAAGTATGATGAAAAATTATATAAAATTTTAAAACTAATATGAAATATGTACAAAATGAGAAAATGCTACTTTAATAATTTCACACCAAAAGATATCCAAAATAATCAGTTACAATACAATCTTGATAAATGTTAATAAAAGCTGATCCTTTTCACTTTTATTATGATGAGGATGTTAATCTACAGTGCATGTTTATTGAATAAAAATTTTAAATTAACAGTTCTTCAGGGTTAGACAATACAAATGTCCCAGCAAAGACTCCAGATTATTTCTCTATAAAGTCTAACTTAAGAACATGTACATATGACCCTATAATTGAAATGAAAAGACATGCAGTCTATTATAGTCAATCCATCACGGTTTAATTGATCAGTGGTGGATCTTCTATGTACAGAACAGTTGAAGACTGCTAACAATGACAACAACACCTAGAAGAAAGCTGCCCGCACCATTCCCTTGAGATCTACTTGGTGCCACCTGCACCACCTCCGCTGGTGGTGTAGTTTTGCTGGGGTTGCTGGCCACCGTACCACATCTGCTGATACTGCTGGTTAGCAGCGTACTGTTGCTGCTGCTGTGGCCAGTAACCCTGGCTCCCCCAGCTCTGTTGCTGGCCTGATTGACCTGCAGTCTGAGCATAATTCCACTGCTACAAAATATACACAAATTACAACTAAAATTATGTAACTACATTACTAGTGATTTACAAGAATTCCTAAAATTAAAAGGCAAATTTGATGAGGGTTTCTTTGACCTGAATTCTGATCAATCCTGAGTGTTTACTATGAATCCTGATCAACTGCAGTTAATACAGTAGTTTGTTCATCCTTGACAAGTAAATAGCTTTTAGCAGTCCACATTCTGGTTTTTTTTAATCAGGAAAAGTGAACAAAAACAGAGTACTAAGAAATCTATAGGAGATTAGCAACAACTAAAACATTGCTCTGCATTAAATAGTACAGTAAAAAGAATATAAGCAATCTGCTTCAAATGGATAAGCCAATTAAATTCGTTTCTTAAACAATATGGACTTTTATACTCAACCTTTATATGTAAGCATATATCTTATTGTATAATTCTTTATTAAATTCAGGAGCCAAAAAAAAAGAACTATTTATTCCATACCCTTAATTAAATGTAGGATTACAAAATAATTATTTCCACTTCATGATAGAAACTACATGAATATTATTACTAATATTCAACAAAAAGGTTTATCATTGTAATTCAAAGTGTTAAAAGAATATTTTTCTTTCTTTAAGTCTGGATAGACCTCTGGAAACCCAAAGATCAAAAGCTGAGTCATTGCTAAATTTTTCCATTCTGAATAGTCAGATGATTGTAAATGCTCCTTAAAATGTCTATTACAACACATTTCTTACCCCGTATCCTTGGTTAGAGCCCTGGTTCCACTGACTCTGACTGCCCCAGCCTCCACTCTGGTTTCCCCAACTTCCCTGTTGACCTCCCCAACTTCTGTTTTGTTGACCTCCCCAGCTTCCTTGGTTACCACTCCAGCTTCCTCCACGGTTTCCTTGGTTACCCCACTTATTTCCTCCTCCTCCATAGTTACCACCTCCATAACTTCTGCCACCACCCCCTCCATAACGGTCCTAGAAAAAAAATTCACTACCATTATCTGTACTTCTTGCAGAGAAATATTAAATAAATAAGTGGTCACAAAATGTCAATTGAAGTAATCTTGATTCTACTTGGTGGTTATCATCATAAAAATATTTTATGTACATGTATGAATATCAGAAAGTAATTTAAAGCTTGATTTTGTGTTTTTTTTCTTATCAGATCATTACTTTAAATATCAGGAAAATTTTTTATATTAAACAGCTTGATTTAATCAGACCCAATATTTAAAGTAGGAAATATCACGAGAACATTCTATTTTTAGCTACAGTACAGGCCACGAGTTTTCCCCGAAAAACACGGGGCCCCGTGGACCGCAAGTCCACGCAAAAGCATGGACCTCGATCAATGTCGGCGTCTTTGAAGTTAGGATGTCTGTGCACCGTGTAACACGGTGTGTACGCGCGGTGTATCACAGTGTCCCATTACGATATCACGCAGAACTTAAAAAAAATATTCATTGTCGTTATTTAATCAATTATATCAATTTCCTTTGAAATAAGTGTTTTCTTTTTTAACTTTTTTCTTAAATATAAGTTCTTTATTATCGATATACAGACGTTTGAACAAATAAGATGTCCTAAAATCTAAGATCCACGTGCTCGTGCCCAGCACCGAAAAGACATAGTCTTCAAATGTGTACACACATCCATGTCGTGTTTTCAAAACCTAGTTATACGAGAGAAAAAATACACTTTCGTAAATAAATTACCTGGTTGTCTTTTCTTTCGATTATAGCTGTGTTCATTTTAATTACAGTCATTTTCATAATTTTTTTTTTCTTTTTGCGGCACGTATGCATTCATATGTCGTATTTATCAGATGCATATTTTATTTTATAAATCATTTCTACATAACGAGAATTTAAAAAAAAAATATCTAAAATAAAATTTAAAACGTGTCAGATACACGCACATAATTCATAAACTCTCAGATAATTTAAGGATTATTGCAGTCTGTAATCTTGTAAAATATGGAGGTAAATATATATCACACACAAAAAAAGTCGAGTACTGGTATACTGTACAAATATTACCTTATCCTGAAATTATTTAATGAAAAATGTGTCTACCGGTTTGCGAAAAAAAAAAAATCAATTACATGTAGCGAATGTAGTTCGGGGATGTACATGCATAGAATAAAGCTTCTCTTATGATCAAAGTCTTTGTAAAGTTATTATCATGGTTTTAGAGGAAATAAAATGTACTAGTTACATGTAGTGAAATCCCTATCCTCTTTCAAGCTATTACGTTTGTTACCTCCCCCCCCTTCTAAATTAATCGAGAGTCTGAAGATTTTTTTTTATCTTACGCTATTGTGAAATAAAACAACCATAATCTAACAGGTTACATACAAAGTAAGTTTGTAATCAAGCCAAAGTACATGTGTGGTGGCGTAACTCGGTAGATGAATTTCCCTGAAAGTCAGTTGAGTGTGTTATACACTTGATGTGGTCAAAGACGAAAGGTGTGATAAACACACAGCGCCCCCGGCCCTCCGGCTGCATCCCAATATATTTTTAAGAAAGGTGTGAACTCGGAACTGACCATAAGAATGTTTCAAATCACAAGACTTTCCGCGTAAACAGACTTTCTGGGCCATCTTGCGTCGTGCGATTTTGATTGACAGGTGTAGCACGAGGATTTCGTGTGTAACCGATAACAACATGTTGCAACTGGGTTGACTATGAAACAATGTTACAGAATTTAAATAGTATTATAGAATGGTTAATTGTGACATTTGGTAATGTAAATAAAACGAAGAATTAATATTATTATTATTATTTTTTTTTTTTTACAGATTTATGTGAAAGGGGTTAAAAGAATCTCTCTCTTTCTCTCTCTCTGATTTTTTTTTTACACACTTTTCAATTAAAGAAAAACTTAAAAAATACTTACACTGAAAGGGTCTTAATTTAAAACATAGATGCTAGTTTATAAAAAGAAAAAAAAAAGTCAGTTACGAGAAATACGCTTCGGCATTATTAAACGAAGAATTAAATGATTTTTTTCTTCAGACATGTGAAAGGGGGTTAAGAGCATCTCTCTCTCTCTCCTTTCTCTCTCTGACATTGTTTCTTTACATAATTAAGGAAAAAACATATTAAATTCTTACACTGAAAGGATTTTTAAAACAGAATTTATACTTACTATGTTATGTAAAGAATTTATTCTGTTACGAAAAATACGCACATTATTGTACACAGGAATTTTGCTCTCGGTTCTCGCTTATAAATTCAGAATGATATAAGATAAAAAAAACAAGAGCACCGCTAAGCGGAGCATCCCCTCGCGCCAGGCACTTCACCGGTAATGGCAAAATTCTCAAGAGGGACGTTAATGAAGATACAATCAACTAGTTAGGTTTAAAATATTTAAAGGTAAAGAAAATAAAATATATTGCAGCACAATTTTAACAAAATCATCTTGGGGGGGGGGGGATTTTTAAATCAAAGTGCACAACATCGTGGGGGAGGGGGGAATAACATGCATATGTAAGTGGGCAGTTTCCCTTATTCCTAGCAGAAACATATCACGTATGCTCTAGGTTTCAGTAATTTACCTACCTATGTAAATCTCAAAGTTGTATGCAATATGCATAAAATCTGAGAATACCCGCGGAAGCAATATTTCTTCGTAATAAAAAATGAAAATATACCGGTGTTGAGAGGTCACTGAAACTTGTGAAATGTCTTTATAGCTTTCGGGAATTACATGCGCCTCAAGAATAAATTCCATGTTGTAAACAGACACCTGTGGAAATTTGGTAATGAAACCGCGACGTTCATCAAATTATTTCAATTATTCAGCGTCAGAGATGACACTTTTAGTTTATACAGACTGTCTTAAGATACGCAAAATAATATGACAATACGTAAATACAAAGTAGAACTTACTGAACTCTGAAGCGAGTCTGTCGAAGCGAGCCGAATTTTCCAGGTTGATTAAGCGGAAGCGAGTATTGTCAAGTCGTACATAAAATTTCAGGGTTTGAAGGTAGTAAAATCGCGATATTTTAAGAAATATTTTAACGATTAATTTGAAAATGAATAGGGTTTGTCCTTTTACAATGCCACATAAGTATGTGGAAGCTGAGAATTGATAGTCCAAAGGTTCTCTTTAAATCTTGCCCACAAGCTGTAACGGACACACTAACACACTAACACACACACATTCGCACAGTAGCGATGCTATATCCCCTCCGCAACTAGTTGCGCGAGGGGATAATAAATGTGCTCTCCACAAGAATATAAATGCTTGGTTTGTACACTAAAACAAATACATGCAGCTCGGATCGTATATCACATGTAACACTGATCATACCACTTCTTCGTTACGTGATTACGTGGGATTAAATTCTTCAGACATTAAAAATTTCAATCCAAGTAATAAT